TGTTTTGATATTGTTCATCAAATCTGACCCATTCGCCTTTAGGGATGGATTAGTAACGGTGGCGGTTCTGAGCAAAGCTTCGGATCACCACAGAAGCATGACGCTGACGATTATTCCCTCGCCATAATCTCAGTGTTACGTGCCATCCATTGCGCTGTTGAATTTTTGGTTCACCAAGCAATGTTATTCTTATATCAAGGCATCTACTTTCCTCAGTCCTTCAAGGTTGTTGTTTAACTGCAGGCCATCAAAAACACAGCCAGTAACTTGTGTTTGTCCACCATTTCAAGTTGTGTTCGCGCTCACGACGCGCCTTTAATCATGTATTGCATTGAAAGTCTTCTCCTGCCAATCGGTTTCATACCTCACCCTGTAAGATGAACACTTTATCCTTGATGTGCAAGTTTCGACTGTGCAAGTTCTAACTGTGCCTTGAACAAAATTGAGGACTGTCTGTCCTTTGTTCAGTTGTGGATAGTTACGCATATACTCACTCCCATGCCAAATACTCTTACATGCCTTGGAAGTCATTCCACCAGTCTAGAAACTTGTCACGATAACTTTTTTTGGAACGTTTCCCTCTTTTTTTACAATGTTCTCCTGTGCGTCATCCCACATGTGTCCCTCGCACTTCACTGTCCAAAAATAGGCAATGGATATTGTGGTCTTGACGAGTAATTTTATTGATTAGAAGCCAAAAACTATATCACGAAGAAGTGTTTATCTGTATTCTTACCATAGAAAGTATTTTTCTATTTTCAAATCCAGGCATGCAGTCGTTCCACGGATGAACACCGCAAAAAGGCATTGGAACGCGTGACTGAATTAGGTCTCAGTGGTCTTCGAACTCTGGTTTATTCAACAAGGCAAGTCACTCGTGATGAGTACTACTCACTCCTACGAGAACGTCGGCAAGCAATGAAGCAGTTTGGGGAGGCTAGAGTTCAGGCACTGAACGCAAGCAACGAAAGAATTGAATCTGGCCTGGAACTCTTAGCCGTTACCGGAGTTGAGGACACGCTACAGCCCGGCGTGAATGAGTGCCTGGAGAGCTTGAAGGCAGCTGGTATAAAGGCGAGTTTGAAAGTTGCTTATCCTAAAGCGAGCAACATACTACTCGCAAAGTTACCAACTATTGTAAATAACACCGGTGCAGGAAAATGACGTAGGTTAACATTTCAGTTACTTTTACCAGTTACCAAACGTATGATCTGCAGATCGTATACAACCGGGTCAGTGACAGATCTCTTGCTAAACGAACCTTCGTGTTTGATTATCCATAAATCCATGGGGCCTCATCCTCGGGGCTTATCATGTAACGCGATCTTGGGAGTGGTCCAGCCGAGGGCGATCGTTCCTATGTTCCGTTAAAGAAGGGATGCCTCTTGCATCAGGTTATCTTGTTTTTTCGCACTTTGATGATTTTTCGCTGTAGGCAACACGGAATTGATGGAAAGTGAGTAAAAACAGATAAAGGATGGAAAACCCTCATATCACAATTACTAGTTACAAGTTACTAGTTACAGAGATGTAAAGCCTAACCAGCGTAACCAGCATGCCTATTTTTATTCAAGGGCGATGCTGTCTTCCCGGAAAAAAGACAGTTAAAATAACCGGCCATTAAAATAGCGCGCTTCGATCCCCCAACGGTCAAGCATGACCGCCGATGCATTAGTCACTTTGGTCGAAATGCTCTTAAGACCAAAGAGCCTGCTGCTGCGGCAGTACTTAGTCGTATACTGCACGCGCCAGTGAGGTAATGAAGTTCCTCACAACCAAGCGGGTTAGACTATTGAGTTGTTGGCTCCATGCCTGGTCTTCCAATCAAGCCCTCACCCCCGTGGGTCAGCGGAAAAAAGACAGTTAAAATAATCGGCCATTAAAATAGCGCGCTTAGGTCCCCCAACAGTCAAGCATGATCGCCGATGCATTAGTCACTTCGGTCGAAATGCTCTTAAGACCAAAGAGCCTATGCTGTCTTCCCGGAAAAAAGACAGTTAAAATAACCGGCCATTAAAATAGCGCGCTTCGATCCCCCAACGGTCAAGCATGACCGCCGATGCATTAGTCACTTTGGTCGAAATGCTCTTAAGACCAAAGAGCCTGCTGCTGCGGCAGTACTTAGTCGTATACTGCACGCGCCAGTGAGGTAATGAAGTTCCTCACAACCAAGCGGGTTAGACTATTGAGTTGTTGGCTCCATGCCTGGTCTTCCAATCAAGCCCTCACCCCCGTGGGTCAGGCGTTTGATGTAGAGACTACTGGGCAATGCCCCGTATTAAAACCATGCCTTCCTCTAGGTACAAACTTTTGAATCAAAGTCTGAATGTGGTTTACTTCAAATAGACCCCATCTGGGCAACCAGATCTACCCGTGGAGGTCAGGAGCGGTGGCTAGTCCCTTCAAATCTAATTACTGCCTATGCTAATACAACTCTGCCTGTTTTGTAATTTCAGCGTTGAATCCTAGCCCTCATCCCAGCAGAATCCAGCTTAACTGCATACTACAAACGTCAAGGAATCTGTTTAGCGTAATAGCGTTTAATATCCGTGATCCTTGTTACATAGGTCAACTGACATCTATCACTACCCCCCTCTCCTTTTTAAAGAAACTGTTTGCGCTGTGTCTTCGGAACACGCATACAACAATAGGCACAAAATATCAGTGTATTTGGATACGATTCAATTCAGCTCAGTTCATCCCACAGAGTGTGATTCCGAATGGTTCCGCTTGACTATGAGGAGTCGCTTTTGTGAAGCCATACTGACAACGTTTTTAAAGAGTCCTCAACCAAAACCTTCCCGTTTTCCCCACATACGTTTGCAGTAGTGACATCGACAAAGATGTCTTTTATGGTAAAGTTCCCGAACTCAAGTCGACGGCCAGCCAGCAGATATCACTGTACTGGCTGGCGATATGAATGTCGATCTGGAGTATACAAATGAAGACGGTTCGAAATCCGAAACATTGTGAATTCGGCGGTTGACCCTTTGCGTCCAAGTTATGGGTCACTATTGAAGTGGGGCACACAGAGATATATTTCATTGAGGGAGTTGAGAAAAGAGTCTCAGATTACTAAGCTTAGAAAGATCCCCGAAAGCACACATGACGCGTGGTCTCAAGACTGACCGGGAGAGGTGATGGCTTAGGAAAGCCCAAGAAATCTGACGTCCGTTCGAAATGGTTGAACTCTTCACTTGTACATGGAAGAGGTGATGGCTTAGGAAATGGTTGAACTCTTCACTTGCACACTATCTACATATCAACTGGGTTTTGACGTGATACTCCCCTTGAATGCAAATGAACCTCTCATTCACGATGGGCTGCCGAGAGCTTTTCAGCAACCTTATAAGTGGTGTTGTAGTCGAATTTCAGTTCAACTTACCCGCAACACGGGTCCAAGCGAAAACACTGCCGAGAGAGGTTGTTCGAAAGTCAATTCCAAGCCCTGCCACCTGCTCCGAGGAACAATTTAGCTGCTGTGAGGCACCCACGCTAACGACCAACACACAAACAGCTTCACAATGGAATGTGGACTGTTCAGTCTCAACGGAATACGAAACCAAAATCAAACTTTTGAGACAAAACAAAACACCTGTTTCTGTATGTCTTCCGTACGCCCTGTTTAAGCTGGAGGAGAGGGTCTCGTTCACAGTCTGACTATTCACATGCCAAGCATTTTGAGGCTGGTGAAAGCGCCGTAGAAATGTCAGATGTCTAATCTAGGTCCTGTCTTAAATTTCGCAATGCGGAGTGCAGCGAAGGGTATTCGGAAGCAAAAACGGTCCAAAAAATGTCCAGTCGATGAGTTGATTCGGTTGCGTAAACTACGCAAGCTCGGTCATGTGCTTCAAATGCCAGGTGATCGATAATTTCTCCGTGTCCTGCTTACTGTGACAGTCATCAGCTGGAAAATTTGACAAGGTGATCAGCGCATGATCTGGAGACGGAACGTTACAAAAGGTCTTGGCTGTACTGGCGCATGCTGCCGGAGATGATGATTCTACCCAAGGTCACGAGCTGCGGCGACCCGTATATACTTACCCTGTTCACGGCTGTCGAAATGAACTGAACAAATGTCCAATAAGTGTATATTGTGCAGCCACGAGAATGCGGTGAAACAGTTTCAATGGGACTGTAATCAGTCCTGATGCCTGAGGCCGTAAATGTTGCACGCAATATGATAGGTGTATGCACTTCCGAAACATTACAAAAATATTTACCAGGGTTAGAAAACAAACCAACAGTCTACATTGACATCTGATGATGGCTTGACAAAAATCTGATGAGCCACTGACTAATTTCCCCGGAATAATGAGACGACTGTTGAAGTGTTGCTTGTTGAACACTTACTGTTGAAGTATTGCTTGTTGAACAAGAGAAAATGAGAGGGGTTCAACAACATTTTTCTGCCTTTAGACACAATCAAGCCATCTGGTAGATGGAACTACAATCCATAAGCTCCTACTATCGGCTTTCAGTCCAGCGACAAGTCTCTAGATGTTTTTGGCACCGACGTTTTCGTAGGCTGCTGTGACGTAAACAGTTCCAGGTGGTTGCGCCCATCTTGCACAAAACACAAACGGATGGTGCTACGTCAGCAGTATTCCTACGCGGCTTGGTTTACTTCCTGCTAACATTGTTGTCGTTGTGTATATTGCCCACTTACCATTCAAATGATTCTAAGTTTAGTGAGGCCGAGATTACCAACGCAAACGATGACATGCGATTTACCACGGGCGCTGCACTACAAAAGTCAATTTTTCCTGACACTTGTGTGCTGGGTAGTAAACTCTGCGTAAACCAACTGGATTATTCTTGCGTACTCTTTCTTCTTCGGCATCTTCATCGAAACGTGTTTTTTTTCAAAGCAAAAATTTGTTGCACATGTGAACGTACTGGAAAGTTACGATAAGTTTATCAGTAGTGTGAGGACAATACTTCTTTCTCGTCCGGTGCCTAATTCGTTGTAACAGATGCGCACATTCCGTACAGATTGATGTGGCCTCTAGAGATCAACTTAGAGAATGCCGTTCTAGTGTTCCACCACACGTGTATTCTGTGGTCATGGATAAGCCCTTATTTAAAGTGCTTGGTGTTGTAGAAACCTTGCTAACGAATGAAAGCGGGAATCGAGGGTAGTAAATTGATTGTCGTTAGATTTGCACGTCTTTCTGAGAATTCTACCAGACTGGGTCAGAATCTATTGGTATGTCTTTGGTGTAAAACATCGCGCACGAACAAACCTCCAAAAACAGTCCACCGTAAGTCCTATCGGCACAACCGAATTAATTGTGTAAATGGTTGTGGGGTTTGTAGAATTCATGTCTACATCACTTTCCTCCGAACAGTCGTCTTTTTCTTTTGGCACAATCATTCTGGTGACTTCACACCCAAGGATGGAAACAGTGGACTCAAGCTTCGCACTTACCAGAGCTCATCAGCGTCAGGTCAACCAATCACATTACTCAAATATGAATACGATGAGCCCCAAGAAGGGCGAAACCGGTCGTGGGCTGTCAAAGAGTTTTCAGCAACCTTGTGAGTAGTTTCCTTTATGAAAATATACTTCGATATCTCGAATATCGTGCCAACTGAATCATGAGGCGGCCTGTGCGCAGCACATTCAGCTGGAGAACATCACAAACGAGAGATTCAATTGAGTCTCCCGTGAAAACCAAATTGATTTGCAGATGAGTGTATTTCTCGAATACGTTGGCCTGTTCAAATGTTAGGATTTAGAGGCGTCCAGCTGCACTGGTGGAGTAGTGCTGAAATGCTCATCCCGCATGTTGGATATCCGAATTTCAAACCATAACACGGCCAAAGATACGCACTGCTGATGCGCTCTAATATGAGCAAAATTCGTCAGGGATGCCCATTCTCTGCGCAGCAACCTTGTGAGTAGTTTCCTTTATGAAAACAAACTGTCTCCTGTTCTTTTCATCGTAAACATGTTCCTATTAGATCTAATCTTGCCATTTCCGAAAGCCTCCGGTCTGATTTTTGTCACTACTATAGGAATTTTACTTCCGATCCTCTGGCTGTGAAGTGATGTGATCGTTTTCATGTACTTGTCTCGCCATAGCTTTCCAGACATTTTGGTGGGCTTGGTTCCATACTATGAGCCAGCCTAGAAAAGATGCGGTTGTCCCTCGCCGTTAATTTTTCAAGCTGTCGTCTCACTACTGTCAAGGAATGTCAAGCGCCTGAGTACCATTGTAAAAATCACTGTTCACTGCACTATGCAGTCGGCCAAGTGACTTCAGCTAAACAGAATTCTCCTGTCTTCTGGGATCATGCCGGTATAACTGAAACCTCCCTTGACCATTCATTATACCGAGTGATCTTAACCTCTGCACATTACGGTCTGTTTTACTCTAGTGACCGAATGTGCAAGATCGTCGACTACCGTTTAGACAATCTGGGTTCGAACTTGATATGTGCGTCTTCCAATTGGCTGCCCGCCAGCATCTTGGCAGTCTGTGTTTACATTTCTTTCGAAATAAACATGACAGTTGATAAACACGAGACATTTTAGTGATGACGGAGATTATTCTAAGTAAACAAGACGTTTGGCAATAATATGAAAACTGATGTCATTTGGTACGCAGTGGACCAAGATTTGGAGAAAAGTAAAAACGATGTGTGAAGCCAACCGAAAAGCATGCAAACTTTTAACAGTAGCTCGGTAGATAGGATGATCCAAGGAGAGAAGAGCATACCATCTGCATTAACGTGCAGAGGACAGTATCTTCAAGAATTTTACGATAATGTCCCGTATCCCCACAGACCTAGCCTCAAAACCCACAAGGACTGAACGTTCGAGCAACCTGGATGTTGCGGTATTTGCTAGCTAGCTGAAAACTGTGATTCTTTTATCTCCGACCGCTGGGGTTAGGTGTGCATCGGCTGCAGGAGAGAATACTCGTCGGAGCAACCCAGCACCATATGTATTTTGAAGGTTAACGCGTTTCTCAGAAAGTAATTATCAGGGAGGTCAGATTCCTGAATGTAACCTCAGAAGACTCCAAACCTACTGCTCTACCAAAATCTCAACAGTAAAGCCGACAAGCATCCAGGCCAGTCAGTCATTCAATCAGTTCAGTAGAAGCTGATGAGTGTTCATGCATGCCACAGAAGCACGACCGAATGTGATCTGCGTTCAGGCCTTTCATAGAGGCACGATTGATATTGATGGGTGTTCACCGACGCCTATCAGACAGCTTGGATCGATGTCAGAAAGTCCCCTTTAATTAGCGTGGGGCCGTTGTAACTTGTGCTCTCGCATTCGCTTGTTCGGAATATAGCTGTTGCGTTCCCTTCTGTGAGTCATTTTTCCGGCAATAGGCACTGGAGCGGGTAAGCAGCAGATACCACAGGTCGGCAAATCAGCAAATATAACAGTAATCAATGCAGGGCTAACTTAACCACTTGGTATTCAGTAGATCTATTAAATCAGACTAAACCGTTTTCTACAAGCCCCCAAGTACTGCACATTTTAAGCGGAAAATAACTTCCATCGGCCGAAATTCGGGACTGCAACAATATCCAGGCACTTACGCGTCACATTATCACTTCAACGCTTTGCACTTGCCAGAATAGAGTCCATCGGATGTATACTTCGCAGTAAATCTTATGAAGTTCGCCTGAGCAACCGAAATACAATGCATAAGTACTTGTCTAGATGATGGGCTAACTTAACAGCTCAAGAGGCCATCTGCTTGGTAATGGCATGGTCAAACAATCAGCGGCAACCGTCAATGGTAATCAGCTGTCAGAATAGATTACTTCAGAGCTCTTTGGGTACAGTCACCTAGAATTACGTCAAGCAGTATTTTAGGCATCTACTGACGTAGTACTCACCATTATGACGTGGCAAATAGACTTCGCATATGATGCAACCAATAGGGCAGTTTTGTTAGGCAGAGTCCCGCGCACGCTCTACCGTAAGCGGAAGTTTCCGAGTGAATCAACAGATGAACGGATCATTTGCAGATGATTACATACAACTCCATTTCTGCTGAGCAAAAAAAAACTGAGTGCTGATGACAAAAGAGCGCAACTTCTGGAGCACAATCCAATACAAAAGTGTCGGCTCAATGTCAAATAGATCCATATTGGATGAACTCAGGTCACTTTAACGTTTCTACTAACTATCATATGTGATTGCTATACTCTTGGCAATCGTTTTTTTACTCACTTCAGAAAAATGACCACTGTACGTACAGACAAAGAATAACAGCACCGGAAACAAGACAACGTCCGCTTATGACGTTGTATCGCACTGGAAACGGGGTCATCGACTTCATGCGTGCGACATTCAACTGAAATTTGCTGCTCTTTTTTCGCAGGCCTCCTGGAAAACTCATTTTTCTCTCATTAGCAGAAATGAAATGGAACTGCGTGTAATTGTGTAAACTTTCAACATGTGTTGGTGTCTGTTTGGATCATCATTCGTTTTTTTGGACTCTGATGCCTGTGCGATGCATCCTTCGGGGACTAGACAGGGCGGACCACCAGAACTTCAACTGTAGACTAAGCAAGCAGTCGTGTGTACTTTGTGGTAAGTACATATCAAAAGCGATCTGACAGGCCACATTCTAACGCTGTAAACCTGGAGATCAGGTTCGCATGCTAACTCCCTCATTCGACAGAACTAACACATTGCCAGGAGTAGCTGGGCGCAAGCGGTGAGAAAGCATTTTTGGTTACCGAATTTGACGGAGGCTGAAGATAAGAGGCTTGCTGCGTCAGTAACCAAAGCGACAGCAATTTTCCACCGCATCTGTCTGAACGATAGCTAAGCATCCCAGTGAGATGGGTTCAGACCTTCTGTGCTGAGTCGAGACATTCAAACCGAAAGCTGATGTTAGACGGATAACCATTGAGCTCCAGAAAGCTTTCAACGGGCGGCAAATTTGACCTCGGACGCTACGCTAACTGGAATTCAATTTGTATAAGTCATTCGGAACTTTGGCTCTGGCCCAAAAGATTCTGCTCGATGTTTTTTTCTAGGAGCCATCTGTCATTGACTGAAGGCATCTTTCACAGTAATGAGGCGGTGTTTTGTTTTTGGAATTCACGACCGCAAAACCACTGGCTGGTAATTTTCTCCGACTCATAAACCCTCACCACGGGGTTGCAACTGCTCAGTAGCTTGCTACCGTTGTGTTTGCAGAAGCGGTACCGACCAAAATGAAAAAAGTGCAAGTCCACACAAGGTATCACATGACAGGGCTGTATGGTGGACAAATGCATGCAGATACAGTGCCTTTAGGGCTACGGAGTGCAACTGCGTTCTAACCTCATGCTCAGAGGAATACCTTTTAAGCTGCATTCTTTATGGGCACTGGGTACGATAGTAGAGGAACCGATATGCTGAACTTGACGAAACAGATACCATCCTGAGTTTGGGATCCTAAAGTTCACTGAAGCTAAGTTTCTGGGATTGCGCACAGTTTATGTATTCTTGGAGATTTTGAAAAAGTGATCGTGAGTCCATACTTATTTAACTCTGACAGGTACGTCTTCTTAAAATACACATGAATCCCGTACGATTCCGGCAACCGTAAAGGAAGGTCTGATATGAGTTGTAGGCGTGGATCGACAAAAATTCTGAAGTAGACAACTCAGATCGATCATCCCTACCCAACGACTCATTCCAATCGAATCAAGTTAAAAGATTACATTTGATAACTATTCGTTCGACTGGTTGAAGCGTTCGATTTGACTCGAAGGAAAAGACAGTTGTTCTAGTCCAACTTAGTGATGTAGCTCAACAGGTCAGTAGGTTTCTAATTTGAAATTCAAGGCAGTATTTAAAGGATCACCCAATCTTCCGGTTGGTTGTTCATATCTGTTCATATCCATCCACAGATGTCCTCACCGTACCTTCAAACAAGCAAAAAACTGCGAGGTATTTTCCTATTCATATGAAAAGGACCAGAACATCTCATGGATTGGCGAACTCCAAGAAAGTCAACTCAAGCTCAAGCATGGAAGTGAAAAGCCATCGGGTGATCGTTTGTACTAATTTCATCTGAAACCTGCCCGTCCAATGGCTGATTCAGTGTATGTCAAGGGAGATCTTATTCTCTTCTGGAGTGAACAATGAATCCGAAGTCAACCGAAAAAAGTCACAAGGTCTGTTCTTATCGCTGCAGCTGTTAAGTTGTTTTCGTTTCTGCTCCATGTGTGTTTGACGTAGTCAAGGTCTCTGCTCCACGACAAAAGCACCCTCCTCTGTCAAGCTAAACTACAATGAAAGCTCATCTGCCAACCTTATGTCCTACTTGGACCCAAATTGAACGAAGTTAGCGAAATACACTCATTTGCATACCCATTTGGTTTTGAAGGGAGACTCACCTGGAACCCAGCTGAATCTTTCTTGTTTCTGATGTGCTGCACCGGGTGTGGATAGTCGAAGAGTTTTCAGCCACCTTACGAGTAGTGCACAACTTCAAGACTAGTTTCACGATAACAAAATTTGATTCACAGGTCTGTAACACTTCTGTTCAGTTGTCAAATGGCCTATGTTGTGGAGTCACGATGGCATGTGACTTGGTCCAGTCAGCATCAGCTTGTTTGCTGTGTTCTGCCAAGGCTACCTGAGGAACGTTTCTGCTTCAAAATCAAAAACTGAGTACAATACAGCCACACTGAACCGGTTCAACCACTGTGATCGCATTCATTGGCTTCCCTAATCTGGCGCGAGTCTACCCACACACACAAAACAGAAACAGCGAGTTCTCATCCATTCCCTCATCATTCTCACAATATGAGCCAATCAGTGGACAATGTGCGTGAGCTTAGCACGATTGGTCCTCTTGCTCATGATGTTGTGATTTCTACTTTTGTTGTTTTCTTTAGATGAAGTGAAGGTGTACTGGATTCCTACGTCATCCCTAAACCAATCATTCTTCCAGCCATGCTTATCTAATAGTCTAATTCGCATATAAGCTCCATAAGGTTTCTGTTTTGAGCAAGGATGCGTTGTTGTCCACGACTCCGAAATAAAGCAGATGCATCAATCAGGCATGTGTATGCGAACGGCTTACAGTCAGTTGAGCCCGTAACGCTGGAACCAGCAGATAACTTTGTCGACAACCGGATTGTCTCTTCTAGGTACACTTGGTGGAACTTTATATTCTTGAATTTATATGAACAGTTTCATTTTGTTTCCAACTTCACCTTCCTGTCGCTTTCATTCCTATATCTGTTTGCTCAAGGAGCCATCAGTGCTTTTGCTTACGTTGTGCCATTTCTTATTTCTCTATTCATCACAATCGTAAAAGAAGGTGTCTATGACATATTCCGGCACCGTCGGGACAGACGGGTGAACAATAAACGTTTCAGTGTTTTAGAATTTGATACGAATAACAATCGGCTCGTCTGGACGGAAAGAACTGCCTCCTCATTGCGGGTTGGTCAGATTGTTCGCTGTGTTGCCGATCAGGAAATTCCATGTGATCTCGTTCTGCTTGCATCTGATGGTTGTAAGAGAGAGGTTCGCTTAACTACGGCTAATTTGGATGGCGAAACTTCCGTAAAGACGCATTATGCTATGAATAAAACCTTCAAAAACTATGGGAAAATCTTGTCAATGTTTCCTAACGACATGGAATTAGACGACGTTACTCAGTTCAAACCATTGCTGGTAGAGGTCACATATGAGGCGCCACATGCCGATCTTAATCGTTTTGAAGGAAATCTGATCACGTCGACGTCCCAAGGGACCGAAAATTTGGTGCCCATATTGATCGAAAACCTGGTTCTCCGAGGTGCAGTTGTACACAGTACTGGTGGCATTCTAGGACTTGTCGTTTATACCGGAGTGGACACAAAATTGTCAATGAATTCCAAAAAGCGCGGTCGGAAATACAGTTCCAGGGAGGACAAGTTGAATTTTGTGCTCACTTTGTTCTTGGTCACATCCATTTTGTTGTGCGCGACGGGCACTATCCTGGCGACCGTGTGGAACAAACAAAGATCAAACGTTCCGTGGTTTGTCTCTGCCCGTCCGCCCACACGATTTTCCTACGTGCGACTATTTATATCGTTTGCGTTCATTGCAAACTTTTTGGTCCCCGTCTCACTAATAATTACAATTGAGTTGCAAATGCTTGTGAACTCCTACCTAATCACACATGATCCTGAATTTTTCGACCCTGAGAGAGGACTGGGGGGCTCGGCCAACTCAGTACACTTGGCTGATGAACTGGGTCAAATTGAGTTTCTTTTCAGTGACAAAACTGGAACCTTGACACTGAATCAAATGGTCTTCAAGGCGTGCAGTATTTTGTGCGATGATGGTATATACGTGTTCGACGGTGATGAAGTCCGCCACCTGAAGAGTGAATCAGGACAACCATATGTAAGAGTAACTGAGATGCAACAGTCTAATGTTTGGAGCGTTGGCAGCGCACTTCCAGTCCATCTGATGGAGTTTCTCACGGTTGTGGCACTTTGTCATACGGTAGAAACTCGGTCATCAGCTGATGAGGAGGATGTAAGCTTTGAAGTAAGTCCACGATATTGAATTATTCTCGAATGTATCACATGCACTCTATTCGTATCGATTCCATCTTCCCATAATGTCTGATTTCAAGTTATCAGATTTCCTCACTCGCAATAATGGATCCCTTTAAAAAGGAATACCTTTGAACAAAGACCTGCCGAACAAGAGCGGGTCTGTGAATGATTTGAAATATTGGGTCAGGACAAGGATCGAATGACCTTGTGGTCAAAATCCAACCGTCCACTAGCTGCCCGATCGTTTTCACATTGGAATATGCAGACGAGGTTTCTCTCGTCTTCGGGGAGGAGAATACGGCGTGGGTGTTTTTGGATGAACCGGTTAATGTCATCCTGTCCCTCGGCACGCGCCTTGCACCCACAGAATTTTAGGTCACGCTTCTAAACATGCAGTGACTGAGCACACTACATTCACATGAAGTTGTGGGGTGTTTTACGTATCTTGAAAGTTGTGTCAGCTCAGTTTTATGGCAAAAGTGAGATCAGTCCACCAATCGCTAACGATGGGGTCACTTTTGTTAGTTTAAGTCATCCACGGCACCAACTTGGTATATCCCTGAATTTCAAGGGACGTGTATATCAGGCTACAGTGTGGACTGTGGAACTGAGACGTCTTCAGATGTTCGAGAATCGTTGCCTCGGTACCATAACTCGTGTAGATAGGTGTTGTCGAATCCGGACCAGAGCACTCAGGAAGCAAGTGTTCGACGGTGTCCAGCCCCAGAAGCTGCGTTGGTTAGGCCATGTATTGCGTCAGCCGTACCATCTTTTACCAAAGCTAGTGCTGTTTTCCGCACCCATTTCAGAGTAACGGGAGCAGAACTGTGGCCAACCCTCGGCCTGTCAGGAGGGGTATAAAAGATATTATGAAACGTTTGGGTGCTGCCAGTGGCACACGCCTTCCAGGATGGAGACTGCATGATTCCAGCTGCACCTGGCTGGAGACGCTGCAAGAAATGGCTTTCAGTCGATGCCACTGGCGTTCTTGTAGTCAGTTTCTATCCAGATTGCCGGAACGAGTGTCTGAATGTGTAGGCGCCTCGAAATGATAGTCCCTCCTCCGTCCGCGGTTATTCTTTTGATCACAATAAGACCTTCAAATAAATCATAATTGTACGCCAGCGAAGTATCACTGTTGATCGCCAATGTTATGCTGTCAATGAAGATGATGGCGGCTAGAAAAACTACAGCAACCCGATTCCGCGCATACCACCTTTAGGTTTCCATACTTTAGCAGTTTATTTTACCCAGTAAAGCAGCAAAAACGAGGTATATGCTCAATCCGGATAGAAGCATGAAGACTACCTTCATATGCATTTCAACCGCCGGCAGTCTGTGCTTTTCTACGTGAAAAGTGTAGTTTGCTTAGTGCAACGTGGAGCGAATCTAGCGAGCCAGTGATCTGTAAGAGTGCACTTTATACACTGCGTTCCTAGAGAGAATCAGATTTTTTAATACGAGCAACTCGTATCAACTAAGTGGACAACGAGTTTGCATGCGTCTTCGAAAAGCAAGCAACATTTGACTTCCTAATTTTTCGAGTCACGGAAATCCACAAACTGACAGACTTCATTCGTTTGCTTCCACAGCTGCAGTTAAGAGTTGATCGTGAACAAAAACACAAATTCCCTATTTGAATGAGACAGAATATTTATCCAATACTCATTTATCTCTTATTCTGTTGTACGTATTATTGCTGACCTAGTTTTTGGACCTAATTATCCGATTAAATGTAGTCGACATTCAGAAATATCGCGCATTACGTCAGTCACTATTGCTTTAACTGTGTGTTGTTTTTGTGTGGGTGGTGATCGCTACATTGAACATTTGAATCGGCTATCTACTCACGCAACGGTGACTTTCGGGTATGCGCCGAAAAGTTCACGTACCATGCAAGTGCATGGAAACTCGAGTAACGGAAGCTGTAATGAACACGTCAGTCTGACGACTATCTGTTTTAGATAGACGTGATGAAGCGTATAATGAACCGAAATTCAGGTTTGCTTTACGGATTGGACGCTGAGAGTAGTGCAGCAAAGGCGGCTGCTATGTTTGGCTGTAGAAACTTGTGTACCACAGGTTCTTCAGTGTGTACACTTGCCCGAGGATACATGCTTTCAAGAAGTTACTCAAAGTTGGTTTATGGGCTAATTCCCACGAAGAAAGGATGTACCATGTACATCTCTACATGGTACAGTGAAATTTGACGCCAACTAAAACTTCAGAGGTACGTGATCATCCATGTGATCCTTATCGGAACCTCAGCAATGACAGACCAAGCAGGCTTATATCAATCACAATTTATCTTTTCAGATACACAGGGACTACGTTTTCCAGTCGGTGGTTGCAAGACACAATGCCCGAAATATAGAATATCTCAAAAACTTCATGGTAGGAGAACCAGCCCCGAACGTAACGGGACTACATAACAGCCAACAGGATACCCGTTTTTTTAGACAGATTTCATTGGCTGTTCTTCACGCGCCCTTGACAGATGAGTTGTA